CATTTGCAGGCGCAGATTCCGTGTTTGCAAACTTTGTTTCTCTTCTTCGATACGCCATGGTGGACAAGACAGATGGTCGGGTCCAGTGTCTAACCGATTTTTATTAACGAAAGCAACTCGATTATCGCCAAGATTGCCGGCATTTTCGATCGCGAAGGCGTCTTCGAAGAAGACGAGCTCTCCATCGGTCGGCGAGCAGTCCAATTAAGTTCTCTCTACTCTCTTCTCGATACTTGAGTCCATCATTCTAGCCAGCAATTCTTGCAGTCGAACTGGCAGGAAAGAAAGAAAGGAAGAAGGGAAGAAACTCGTGGCTGCGATGGAATCAGGAAATACCCTTGGTCCTAAAGTAAATCCGTCATCGAGGGTGAGCGTTTATCGCTACGCGGTATGTATGTACGTACATACACGTAGAAATCGTGAGTCGACAGTAATTCGATAAATATAGAATGAGCTAAGGTCCATGTTGGCTAAGCCAGATGTAACGTTTCGCTTCCGTTTTTCTTTTCGTCGCCTCCCGTTTTTTCTCTGCACTTCTCCATCTGGTTCGTCTCGATGTTGATTTCCGTGCGACGAGTCAACGTGTGCCGTGCCACTCTATGTTGATGAATTTAATTAAAATTAAAAGAAGCTATAAAATGGCTCTGGAAAGAGTTGAAAAATCGTTTTTGTTTAGAGTCGGTCGCAGCTATTCAGAGAAACCATCGACGAAAGAGATCCATTATTAGATCTCGGTGTATCGACCTTTTTCTTATCGTCGGTGTTGGAGCTTCTGAAACCTTGCACCTCCAGACGATACCTCTGGCGCGGCGATCGTTTGAATTAACAGAAGAGTAGCAAGAATTTTCAGCTCTGGGCCATCGAAATACCTCAATAAAGCCGGTATGCATCTAGGTCACGGCGAGGCGAGTTAATGCCACATTTTCCTGATCTACGGGCTGGCAACGATTCAACGCACGACGGGTGCACCGAACTAACGCGACGCGACGCGACGCGACGCGGCGACGCCAGAATTAAATTTCACCAGTTCCATTTGCACAAACGCGACACAGCTACCTCTTCGTCTTCGTTTGATCGTGGAATTGGTTACATTCTAAGTGGTATAAAAGCTTCTTTCAACGAACGGCTCGTTCGATTCGTTCGTGAATCGAATGGAAATCGACGACATTCCATTTGCACGCTGTCGTACGTTCCTTTCTCTCAACTATTTGCACTTTAATCTTTGAACCACTTAAACACTCCAAGGATCGGACTTGTACGAGTTATCGCCTTCCGATAATTCTTCGTTTATCGAATTAGTCGAACGAATTTAATTTAAGAATGGTAGAATTCAAACTATTCTAGTTCCAAATGCTAGTTCAAATTCCAGGCTGCTAGTTACGGAAACGAAGAAACTCTTGTATCCGAAAGGTGATGGACTGGATGGCGGACGACAATCACCACCAGCGGAACACTCTATCCGCGTGGTTGGTGGTGTGTTTGCTTCTTTTCCCGTAAGAACCGGTCGTTTGTCACCGGTGCGCCTATTTATATCAGCTCGCCGCAACGTCTCTGCTCGGTGACAAATGTGCCCGGTCCCGGTCAGCGTATTCCGAGCCGAGGTGTCTCTCTCGCTCCCTTCCGCTCGCGACTCGATCTGTTTCGCTTCGCAAAGACGACTCGGTACGGATGCGGCTTACAATTAGATCGCCACGAGAGGATGGTTATCGTTATCGAGCTGCACGACTCCGACTGGATCGCTCCGATGCAGACGTGAACCAGGAGATTAACCCTTGCCGCGTGTACCATTTATATACGTTATCAAGCCAGTGATTTTCTGCTGGTTTCATTCGAAAACTTGAAACCATAGAAGAGTAGCGCGGATTGCGTTATCTACCTGTCGCGTAATTTGTCTATAGGCTGTTGCTTGCGAACGAGCCTCGTAATTGAAAGGTACGCGCGACGGACGCGTACGGTTTCTCTTAATCGCGAAATTAATTTACGCGTTTTTCAATATTCTTTCCATCGCACGTTGTACGCCGTCACCGATCGCAAATCGATCTCTGCCGAAACTTTTATGACGTTAGACCGGACTAGAATTCCTCGATGGCGATTCAAGTTACCGCGAAGCGACATCGACTCCAGCCTCGACGTTTAATTTAGACGTAATTCGGTCGTTAAAGGGGAGCTTTAAGACGAGGTGGAATATTTCTAGCGGGAATTGCAGGCTTAGAGCCACAAAACTGGCGCTCTCGTTGCTTCGCGCATATCAAACACCTCGAGCTTCCTCCTTCTCTCGCTCTGTCGCCCTCTGTCGAGGTTCTGCGTTAGCACACGTTAGTCGGTCGGCTACCCATTGGTAGACAACTTTTCCCTTACTGTGACAAAATGATCTCGTATTACGTCGGTTTGACGACTGCTCTCGAGTCGAAACTTGTCAAATAAACGGTGCCAATGATCGAACAAGCCCAACAGCATCGTCGAGTAAACGTGATTTCGAGGCCGGCTAAGGCTTTACAGATTCCGTGATAATGAAAGCAGCGCTTCGATTATCGAGTCGCATGGGCCTGACCGATAAAAGTCCTCGCGAAAGGGATAGTCCTAACGTTTTCTAGCATATTACCGTTTTTTTGTTTGTCGTGCCGACCGTGACCGTTCAACGACTGAGAATATTACATCCGAGGACTGATGTATACAAACATTTCGCAATGCAATGGAGAACGCGTATAGAGTGTTTTAACGGTGTTTTATACGTGCCCAGTACAAGTAACCACCGGTACATACCAAGATTACTCGTATCGACGCAATAGTTACTCTAAAAAGGAGTCCGCAGCAGCTGTACCGGAATGTAAATATATGTATACCCCGAGTCGAGACGAGTCGAGACGAGTCGAGACGAGCCGAACCGACCGTTGCGCCACAAAGAATAACGAAAACAGCCCCGTCTGTCGTTCCACGGCAAAAGAATATTTCGAATGGAACTGCGGGCTCGGTAGCTCGCAGAAACAACTTGGTCAGCCGGGTGCAAAGGTCAGAGACGATGTGCACCCAAGTCGAATAGACTGAAAGAGAAACTACTTGGAACGGAAAGAGGTGAAAAAGCGGCGAAGGAAGAAACGGAATGGATGGAAAGAATGGTGGAGCAGAAAGCACGGGTGGCAAGGGCTCGAGAGGTCGTCGAGACATTTACATCGGACGGCCGCGGCCGGTCTTTCTTCGGTCCGCTACTATTATCAATATTCATAATCCGGAGTTGGAGACATCCGTGGAACGTGCAGCACGGCGACCTCATGTGGCGAGAGGAACGGATCGGAGAGGGAACGGAAAAAATGAACGAGACGAACAGGATGAATTAGGAGAGTCGAAGAGACGAGAGGCCCAGCGTGGGGGCAGGACGATGACGAACAGAGGGAGCCGGGCCACGAACGAAGAGGGCCCTAACCGCAAAAGAGCCAAATCGACGGGTAAATACGTTGTTGACTCTGTGGAGAGAAGCCCGAAAGCCAAATGGAATTCGGTCCGGTGATTTAGTGGGCGGTCTTCGGAGACCGCCGGCCGCCACGTCTGCCTCTGCACTTCTTCTCCTTTGCTCCTTTGCTCTTCCCCTTCACTCGCGCGACACTCGCTCATTCTTCGAGCCTGTTCATCGCGCAGCCTCGGAGAGAACAGAGAAGCATCGCGATGCGTTCGGCTACCGTACGGTGCGCGTGCGTGTCGATTCGAATTCGAAAAGCAAAGACAAAGTGAAACAGAATCGTTATTTTCCTCGGGTTTCATTTCTGTCATTTTTCAATGTAATCGTTGACGTGTTTAATTGGTCGATAAACGGCGAGGCTATCGGTGTACGATGTATGTAATTGTTCGTTTTGCCGTAAAAAGCAGCTTTTTAGAAAAGAAACGACATCGACGCGCATACGTTCGCAAAGGTGGTTAATGGCTAGGCTTCGTAGCCTCTTTTAGGTTTTCGCCGGTTAAAGTTTGAAAAGAGAACGTGGCGTCAATAAAAGTTGTCGACGAGGCAGCGGCTTTTCGGAACACGAGTTTTCCACTGAATAAATTTAACGTTATCGTAGTCGGTGACGCAGCCGAAACAGGGGTGGCGCGCCCTTGTGTTCTTCTCGGCCTTTTTCGATTGCTCGTTCACGAAAATTCAGATTTCTCGATCCATAATGTATGACGTAAACTAACGCGTAACCAATCGTTGGCCGTTCCAATAAAAATATGATGCGCGAGTAGCCGAAAGGGGTGGCCAGTACATTGAAATTTCTTTTAGACACGGTATTCGGAGTGTATAGTTGTCGCGGTTGGCATACGGACCGTTCGAGATGGACAAGAAGGATGAAAAATAAAGAGTACAAGTATCGTTGGCCGTGAGATTGCAGCGTCACGGGTCTTGAAACAGCTCGTAAAATTGCGAACGAGTAAAGCGAGCAAGAATGCCGGGACGGCGTGGCGTGGCGTGGTGTGGCGGCAGCGTAGGTGAAGTGGGGCGAACTGCGAAGGTACTTGGACGTATTTATCGGATAGATATGATCGATGTCGGTCTTGGCACGACACTCCTCGTTGCCTTGGCCGTGAATGTACTTACTTACGTACGTAAGCGCCTCCCACGTGTATCGATAATGGTAAAACATCCGAGTATCTTGACGTGGCTAGGATCCGCCAGTGCGCGTAATCGTGCCGTTGTAAACGATTTTCTGCTTGACGTGCACGACACACTGTTCCCGGACACGGGTTTGCGTGGCCGGTATGCGCGCGGGTGTATTTGTCTTTATTAGGGTCGTAAGGAAACGAGCGACGTCGGAACCGTGGTTAGATATGGAAATTTATTTCCGTCGTTCATCGTGACGTACGACCGCTACCGCGACCGGGACCGGGACCGGGACCGTTCAACGGCTTACGCTGTGAAACCATGGAATCGCGATCTGTCGTAACTGCATCCGCGGCTTGGTGCGCGTGTTGCTCCAGTTGTACGAGAAATAGTAGATGTCGAGTATCGGTGATCGTGTTACGAGTTACGAAACAGGTGAGCGGTATGCGTTTCTAATCAACACATGGGGATCACGGAGTTTCTTGCGGGTCGTGTATATTGGTTTCGAGTGATGTGTGTCATTTTTCGGCCAATGGGCGAAGAAAAATGTCGTACGGAAAGGGCCGGCAAACGCGTTTTACGTCGTGTAATTTTGCTAATGGCCCCGAATCGCGTCGGCGCGGCATCGGCGTCGGTGTTGGCGTTGGCGTTGGGGAGCTTTCCTTCTCCTTACCCTTTCTACTCGTAATCCGTGGGTAGTCAAGATAATTCGCTGCTGGAAATTCGGAAATTAAATTGGTACCCACAAGAGGGCCTCGTTTAATACGCGTAATTACGTAATTACACATCGCGGAGGAAACGTTCGTTGAAACGACTTCGCTTCGATCGATCCATTAAAAAATATCGGCCTGTACGCGGTAGAAAAGGATCAAGTTGTTACTCCCTTAAAATTGTTCCTATTACAAAGTATTTTGCAAAAAAGTCGAAAACTGAACGATACAGATTTCTTCGTAGAAATGTTAATCGAGGAAGGTGACTCGAAAAACCGAGGGAAACGTCGAGAGTCGAGAGATACCTACCTTTCGTATCACTGTTTGCGAAAGGAAACGCGATACCTGCATCCTTTCCAGTCTCGTTCCCTTTTCGTTCTTTCGAAGCAAAAGATTGTTTTCATTGAACGATTGCAAGAAAGACGAGAGCTAGAATAAAAAAAAACGATATAACATATAAAACGGATACATACTTGGTTATCGTCAAAGAGAAATATTTTCACGTGCACTTTTGCTTTTATGAGATTTACCGCAGCAGAAGGGTTCGAGGCGAGAAGCAAAAGGAAGACGCGCAGCGAAGCGTCTTGTTCGGATGGCGGGGCAGGTTCCCGCTTGCCAGGTCCCAGCCCATTCATCGATCTTCGATCTTTATCTGAAATATTATCGATGGATCAGACCTATACTTTAATCTAATTAATCACCATACAAGCTACAATTGTTCACGCTCCGCGGCCATTAAACTCTCATACGCGCGGTCGAGATTAAAATTACCTTGTCGCTTAGCCCCGCTGAATTACAGACATTTACTTAATCCCTCGTTCTCTTAGCTACGGTACGTATATTGTTTTTGTAACATCTACTAACGTAATTGAAAGAGAAACGATGGCACGTTAAAGCTTTGGGAACAATGAACATATTTGGTTGGAATTTTCAAAGTCGCTCCGATTCCTTTCAAGAATTTTAGTCGACTTTAACCGAACGCTTTCTCGTTTCACTTTAACGATCCCTAAATACCTAAGGAAACGGTTTCCTCGTCGGATATTCGTCGTTGGTATTTTGTGTACATCATCCGTATCGCTCTCGGCATTCATATTACTTTCGGCAGTTGTATGTGAAACAGGATTGATCGAAGCGACAACCAACGCGATGATCCGACGATTCGACTCAAACGTTTCCCAGCTCTCCGCGTTTGCGACATCGGCGTTAATAGATGCGTGTACGTTCAGCGGGCGCGTAAGTATAACCGCGCTACAAATGTAGGTACATCCGTATCTCTCGAACGGTCCATTGTGCGAACGGAAGTCGGTGGTTCTGCTTCGACGCCGTCGCCAACGGGACAGATAGAGAAAAAGAAGAGAGATACACGAGTCGAACGAATAAATAAAACGAGCGCCGCGTCGCGTCGCGTCGCGTCGGGAGTGAGTTATAACGGCCGTGGTCCAAAAATGTTTCGCGAGTTTTATAATCCTTGAAAACGTTTCATCGAATCGAAAGAGAGAGATATACGTACTTATAAATACGACAAGTACAATCTTTCTAAATAAATGGACGGATTTCCTGTGTGACTAACGTAAAATTACCACGGTCATTATACAGTATAGATATTGTTAAGAACGCAACGGAAACGCGATAGACAAGTCTGTTTGTTTGTTTAACTATTTTACAGCCAATCCGATTTATCTGTCTTCTGTCGTATCGTAGGAGGTTTTAACCACTTATCCTTGGAGAGAATCGGTATCGCGTCCAACAAAGTCGATCCTTTCGTGAGAAGCGTGCATCGTCGAAAGGCTCGCGCTCTCAAGAAAATTATAGGCCAGAGAGAAAGAGCGAAGGAATCCCTTAATATTCTATCTCCGTGGCCGGGGCATCGTCGTCATCATCATTATGTCAAGCGCTTAAAAAGATCTCGAATCAACATATATTTGCATACTCGAGCGGGGAAACGTCGGACGTGGTATTTTAAAAGGCAAGCCTAATTTATTTTGTCGGCCTGCCCACCTATACTTCCAGCGCAGCGGCCAGGCACGGTTGGAATGGAATCGGGAAGATGTCGCGCGGTCAGACAGTGTATCTAGGTACATTACATGTATATCGTATACCTAGGTGGTCGAGCGTAGATTTATCCTAGTCTCGCATAGAAAACGGAACTCGATAAACCGACGATTCGTTTTGTTTCTTAGTTTCTTTCCATCCTACCAGATAATTTAACGAACCTGTCGTCGCTGGACCGTATTTCGGTATCCGAAACCAAGACGAAACTAAAGACAACTAAATAAATAACTTGAAATCGCGTAATTTTCGTTTATACTCGCGCGAAAAGAAAACTTATGATCGCGTTGTCGTTGGCGAATGTATTTCATGACCGTCTCGTTGTACGTAGTCGTGCGTACATTAGGTATATCGGGCAACTGCTGCATCCAAGTCGAAGGAACGCGGTACGAAGGATATCGGTACGTATTAGTGACTGCGAGGACCGGACCGAGTCATTGGTTGTTAACGAGACGTTCGAGTGTGTCGTGATCTCGGACCAGGTTCCGGTAACGATGTCTTAGCATGTGTAGAGTGTACGGGACGAGCAAGGATATTTAAATACCGTCTATAAACTGGTCGGTCATCCGTGGTCATTTTAACGTCGACGAACGCTAACGCGGAGCACATAGCACACAACCCAACGCTCGTAAAACAAAGTTGATCCTGCGCGAGTGTGTGCGCGCGCGTGCATGGCCCGAACTTCGACCGGTCGAACTGGCTCTCGAAAGGAAAGGCACTGGCTCTCGTCGGAAGATGGGAAATTTGCTTAAAAATCTACTACATTTCTAAAGGATTCCGTTCTAGTGTCTGGAGCTCGTCTGGTACAGCAATTATTTCGTTATTTTTCTGTACTTAACATATTTCGCATTACTCGTAAGAAACATCAAAGCAATTACCATTTCTATTTATCGTTATATTTAGACACCGATGAAGCATCATCGAATATTTTATACGTGTGAGCACGTACGCGTACGAAAGGCCTTTTTACAAATGGTATGCAAACGAAGACAGTATACACGTCCAGGTGTGTACATACTGTATACCTACGTATAATTTGATTTCTTGTCCTCGTTGCGAGCTGGCTCGTCGCAATGGCGACTATCGTTTCCGAGATGGACGCGCGTCCGCGCGAAACGAGACCGGTTCCGATTCGATAAAACTTATTACGCTATCGCTCAACTGTCACAACAGATCGTAGATAGAATTCACTCCGCGTTGTGCGTCGCGGCGTCAAAAACGCTGCAGTAACTGGCTTATCCGAAGAAACGCTATTTTCCTATTTCCCTATTTCTCTGTCGGGCCGTCACCGTTGAAACAAATTAACGAACTAGCGGACAGTTGTTCCGGTCAGACACGGTCCATGAGCTCTGGATGAAATACGAGGCCCGGTACCCGAACCTATTTTCGAGCGTAAATTTTCTGAAAAATAATTCTGGCCGACTACTGGGATAGAGGCACTTCCGATGCGCGCAGTGAATGCTAGCACGGTTGCGAGTCCGCGATCCGGCTCGACTCCGTACGGCTCGTTTGCATGAGTAATTATTAACATTCCAAGGGACAAAAGGCGATTTTCTAGCCCGCGGCGAACCAACGTCGACGCCGACACCGACGCCGACGCCGACGCCGACGCCGACGCCGACACCGACGCCGCGACACCGGGTATTCTTGAGCGGAGCGCTTCTCGTCTGCGATTTATAGCGGACAGACGCAGACGCTGACGCTAACGCTGACACGCGACACGACATCCACCGGGAACGGAAAGAACAGACAATGGATCCGTGGTTGCTCGACTGACCGAGGAGTACACACGCGGACTAAATAAGTCGAAATCTGTTGAAAATGTTGCCGTTTTGTAAATATTTCGCGTGAAATGTGACAAATGTTTTACGAAAACTAATCGTAATCGATTATTCGAGCAGAAAACATTTACGCAGATACATTTTCCAACAACGATTTAATCGAATAACGATTAAAAGCGATTTAATTTTCTCTGTTGAGTATTAAATTGTATATTATATGCATGTAGAAAAGAAAAGAAAAAAGAAAAGAAAACGCGGTGGGATGAGAAGTAGAGGCGCCAAGTGCGCGGCGAGCGCGAGCATGAGCGGTCTGCGACGGCAATGGATCAAGAAAGTAGACGAAACAAAAGAGTAGAGGAGTGCAGTGGACAAGTTATGCAGAGCCCCTGAAGCGTGCATTTGACTAAGCTCGTCACCTCTTCCGCGTTTCTTTTTTCTTCTTTTCTCGACATTCCATTTCTTTCCTGCTCTTCGCTTTCTTTCGTCTCGGCTAGTTCCATTTTTTCGAGACCCTTTTTCAACTATTCAACTGTAACTTTATCTCGCTCGGTATAGCAGCTTCTTTACGTTTACTGATTGCGTATGCGCGAAAGAGACGAGTCCAAGTTTGCAAAAATACATGTTAAGATACGAAACGTAGATTGTTTCGTCTTGGTTCGATCTTTCTCTCTTTTAATTCCATTCACATGCCAGTGGATCTCTAAACTGGTCATTCGGCTGATTAAAAATTACGACGCAACGCCGACAGTGTATAGACGCAACGTGGAGCCGTTAACGAAATCGAATTGCGAGAAGGCTGATTCCGCAGTCGGGTGCTGCGTTCGCAGTACCGTATTTAAACCAACTATGCGGGCTATTATATGTATACGCATGTCCGCAGGTAAATCGTACACGTGCACTCCGCGCTTACTCGGGTGCACAACTGCACGCGTACCAGTTCACCAGTTGTACCGCCACGTTTCGTATTTTCGTATGCGTGCCCTTGCGTACGGTGTCTGCATTTTAATATCAGTATTCCGAGCGTAAGTCGTAGTTGGTGGTAGTTGATACATACAGAGAGTCGCATATTTAATCGTATGCCAAACGATAAGGGGTTGTTGGGGAAGAGGAAGCGAGAGTTGGAAGCGAGAGTAGCGTAGAGTCGGCATGGAAGACCCGAGACCTCGATAATCGTTAATAACTCGTTCCTCTCCGTTCCCCTGCTACCTCCGAATGCTCTTTCGACCCCGGAAACTCTCGCTGCTAGCTCACTGATCTTATGAATCTTCCCACGAAGAAATCCTCGGATCGGTCGTGGACCAACGACGAACCTTAAAGAAGGATCGCGTCGGAAAACTTGGCGCATACATATAGTACATACGTACATACTACATACATACATGTTTCTTCAAAGGCCTGGGTATTTCATAGTTGGGAACTAATATAACCGACGCGACGATTAAGAAATTACGAGAATCGACTAGCAATCAGAGGACAGTTGGAAAAGTCAAAATCGAATTCCGAATAGAGCGGATAAGAGGTGCTTTGCTTTTCATCTCTCTATCTCTTCTCCGGGCAAATCATCCCGAATGATTTTCAGTCGTCGGCTAGTTGGCAATTTCAATATATTTCTCGGGATTACAAATACACCGAGGGACTCATCCATTTTGCATTATCTCACCGCTCTCACCTCTGAGCAAGCTATTAGAGGACTGATCGATCGTTGTGGATAATCCACATTACTCGCTCAAGGTTGACGTATAGTATCGCCTGATTCCCTGCTACGGACACACAGTTCCATTTGCGTAAATTCAACCCGGACATCTCGAACAGTGCGACATTTTTTTCAAAAAATAATAATACCGATAACAGACATTTACATTTGCGATGTTTCTATGATCGATCCGTTGCTTTCTTCGACACATTTCTCGTCGCGCATGAAAAGCGATCGTACATGCGTATATTACGTAAAAACCGTTTGGCGCCAACTCGTTAATGCGCGTGTCGTACAATCTGTAGCTTTCAGAGATCCGACAAAACTCATTAATAATGCCAACTCGACTAATTCTTCGTCACGGTTCCATGCTCTGGCGCTGACTCGATCAGTAACCCTCTCGTGGGTTTCAATCGCCGGAATCTCGTAACCGATCAAGCCACTCGACTTTTTGTCGCTTTATCGGTCTTTTCACCGACACGGAACAGAACGGAACAGAATGATGCGTGGACGATATACGTGCATATGTGTATGTATAGGGTACATCTAACTTGCGCACATTTCTATTTCTCCAACGGTCCGCTAGTAAATTTCACTTGATCGTTTTATTAAATATTCACCCATTAATCAAATAAGTAACGAAGCGTGTAGATGAAGCGACGCGATGCCAAGTTGTATCTTGCATTCCTCTGTCTCTGTACGCGTACGAGGAATTTGTCGTACGCGACGCAATCTGATTATAACGATGGCATATAAACTTGAGAACTTTAGTTTGCAATTGTTTCTCGGGAAGGCACAAAAGAGTTTTTGTTGATTGAAGAGTTCTCTGGCTCTCTAGTGGCTTCCGTCAGTTCGCTCTAAAGTCGACTTTTCAAAGGACTTTAATGAATAGCAGCATTTACTATTCTTCCCTGCACTGATGTAATTATAAAACCATTCTTTTGTTTCCGAGTTTCCATTGAAGGAGCAGGGAATGTCCGTTCGCTGGAGTCGTGCCATTGTACGTGAACGTTTCTAGTCATTCGATTTAAATTATGTTCACTTGTCCCACGCTCTCGATTCTTAGTCCGCACGTTGCATCGCGTCGGCATCGCGTCGAACAGCCCGAAACGTTGCCCATGCCATTTGCCATGACCGCGTATAATACGATATGTTCATTTCGATCAATAAGGATTACGTTCTTGTATTATTTTCTCGAGTATTGGATCTTGATGTATCGTATGTTTCACGTGTAACTTTATTCCCAGTATTGCCGTTTTTAACCGCAATTAGCATCTAATCACTGCAAGTTAATTCTGTCGAATTTGTCAAACCATAAAACGTTTGTCAATATACCCGCTACTAATGCGATTTTCAGCCTCGAGCAATTGCACCGTCGCGGTCGTGTCGCGCGTACGAGATGCCAGAGCACTAACAAACGCAATTGACATCGGTGCCCAATTGCATATTCAAGGAGGTTAGGGCCAATAACTATCGGTCTGCGTTTCGGCTGTATGTCGATCAATCAACGATATGTTTGCGTGCTTCCTGTGAAGACGGAAGGCTCTGTTTATTTTGCATTTGTGCGCGCTTTGAGCAGAGTTTGACTACCCCTTTACCACGTATTCCCATTTCTATCGGCAAAGACTAGAGTCCGCATTCTCGATTCAGACATTCTGGTAGTACATACGTTGCGTTGGATTGCGTTGCGTTGCGTCGTGACGAATGTTATTTCCTCAACAGTCAGGAATCGCGGCGCGGTGACGAGTAAAATTCCGTGTACCAAGAAGAAGAGTCCTCGAGCAAACTATTCCCAAAATTAGGACTGCTAGGAGCGAAGACCGACTGCGTAGTTTTCAGGTTTTCGTTGAATCTATCGATTCGCAACGTTTTACCGTCGCGCGTTTCTAACCATTACGCGACGCCAACTATAAGACCAAAGGACAACTAATTGATCATCTTGAACGAAACTCTTAAATCCGTACGTATGTTATTCAACATTTGCTAAATTATAAACTCGGCGTCCGGTTGCACTGATTTCCCGCGCACAAGCCAAGTTTCGTTGCGTTGGACGGACGCGACGGGTAAACGCATTATAAACGGACGATAAATCGGGACCACCGTAGATTACACGTTGTACACGGCTGCGAGGGAGAACTTCATTACCGCTTCGTTCGGTCTTGCGTAAACCATTTAACTCGAACCTCCGCGGTTTCTAGGCGGAGTCAACGCTTCATACTAAATCTGCTGTTAAGCGAGTTCCGGTACCAGCGCCGAGATTTACGTACTCCGAAGGCAAGCAGTAACATTGCTCGCAGGACACCTTGGATACGCTAGCGCGAGTAACACGCAAAGGAAAATAGTCTGGCATTCGACGTATGTACAAGGACGGATAAAGCGATAAATTTCTTCTTAGGTGAAACATTGAATCTTTAATGAAAACTTTGATCGATCGCTTATAATCCAAGTTTAACATTTCTTTATTATTCCGTACGACGCGACGCGTTTGACGCGTGTGCGTCGATAACGTAAAACTGTCTCTGAAAATAGGGTCGTGTGTCGATGTAAAGAATGTTGAAAATTCACGTCGTCGATTCGACGACGCGGACTTATCGTTACCCGGGGAACGTTATCGGGTATAGGTTATCCTTGAAAATCCGCAGAATAGACTTTGCCCGTAAGCCAAGCCGGTGCACCTAGCCATGGTCCGTAACCTTAACGGAAAATCGAAGCTGCTTACCATAAGCAGTCACCCTAAGCTCCGAATCCGGCGCGTCCTTCCGCCTTTTCTTCGATTCACGGGATTGAAAAACCGTCCCGAGGCTCTCGTTCCAACTTGATCGTCTCACTCCAATCCGAACCAATTTTTCCTTCGTCGTTCCGCTGATTTTTCGCGACGAAAGGATTCCGAGACGTTGGCGTTGGAAAGGGTCGACAAAGAACCTTTACCCGCGAAATATCGCAGCCAGACTGCACTCGGTAGAGCTCGGTTACTTGGAGGTAAACTATCGTTTCCGATAAGCACAAGTTACGAGCCAAGTTTACGATGACCACAGCTTGCTCGAGGAATACGACTGGCTTTTAGGACCCAAAACTTGGTTTCTTGGCGACGCGACCTTACGGAAAACTAACGGAAT